ACTTGGAAGGCTGAGGTGCATGCATGTAAATGCAAAGGCAGCCATATAGTCACAGAAATAAGTGAATCAATAATTAAATGGTCTGATGACTATCAAGGGGTCCTGTGTGCCCCAGGAGACAGGGTTTCCCCGGTTAGCCTTGGCTGTCCGGGAAATTGCTCTGCAGACCAGGCTGGCCTTGAACTCACAGATATCTACCTGTCTCAGCCTCTGGAGTGCTGGGATTAAAGGTGTTCACCACCAATGCCAGACTTCCCATGATATTTTTGAGCCAAGGCATATTCCTGTCCCTTCATGGGGTCTCTTCAAATTTCCTCCGTAGCCCTAATTTCTGATTCTGGGCTCTGTTTTCAGCCCGGCGACTTCCATTATCGCAACTGTGGTGGGCATCCTGTTGTTCCTGGTCATAGGGGTGGTTGTTGGGATCCTAATCAAGAGAAGGCGGCAGAAGATCCGCAAGTATACAATGCGTAGGCTGCTGCAGGAAACCGAGGTGAGGTGGGGTGAGGGCATCCTAGCAACATCTCTCCCCATCTGCAGCTTGCTTGACACTCACACCCTGCCATCCTCTCACTCCAGCTAGTGGAGCCACTGACGCCCAGCGGAGCCATGCCCAACCAGGCCCAGATGCGCATCCTAAAAGAGACTGAGCTAAGGAAGGTGAAGGTGCTTGGATCAGGAGCTTTTGGCACTGTCTACAAGGTCAGGAGAGGCCAGGCTCTGGCGTGGGTGGGTCTGGAGGAGGGACTGAGCCTGGAGGGGCATGGTCAAGAGAAAGGAGTGGGCCAGGCTGGAGGGTGGGGAAGGCTACTCCTCAATGGCTTCTTGGGGACCAGCTGGATCTGGGCCACAGCTCTGATTCAAGCTCGTTTTCTTTCTGCTCAGGGCATCTGGATCCCAGATGGGGAGAACGTGAAAATTCCTGTGGCCATCAAGGTGTTGAGGGAAAACACATCCCCTAAAGCTAACAAGGAAATCCTAGATGTAAGCCCCTCACCTTCTCCATTAGGACTTGTGAGATGCCCTATAGATACAGATCTGGGCTGCTTTTTCTTCATGAGGGTTTGAGATGGAGCTCCTAAGCCTTGATCCTTAATCTTCCTGGTCTGCAGGCCCTGCAGGGATGGGGGAGGGGCTCTAAGAGGGGAGTATGATGGGTGGGAGTAGGTGGCTTCCTGTATCCCTCAGTGCACCCTTGCCCGTAGGAAGCATACGTGATGGCTGGTGTGGGCTCTCCATATGTGTCCCGCCTCCTGGGCATCTGCCTGACATCCACAGTACAGTTGGTGACACAACTTATGCCCTATGGCTGCCTTCTGGACCATGTCCGAGAACACCGAGGTCGCCTGGGCTCCCAAGACCTCCTCAACTGGTGTGTTCAGATTGCCAAGGTATGTGCTTGGGGTCTTCTGACTCTGCAGGTCCTTTGGGTACAAGTCCCTATCTTCATTTGGGGCCAGGGTGGGGTGGGGAATGTCAGTAGGGTGAGATCCAGATTCAGGTTCCACACTGATGCTCATTTTACAGGGGATGAGTTACCTGGAGGATGTACGGCTCGTGCACAGGGACCTGGCTGCCCGGAATGTGCTGGTCAAGAGTCCCAACCACGTCAAGATTACAGACTTCGGGCTGGCACGGCTGCTGGACATTGATGAGACAGAGTACCATGCAGATGGGGGCAAGGTTGGAGGAGGGAGGGGTGGGGTGGGTGGGGTGGTATCCAGCTGTTGGGAGAACTTTGAGAAGGGTCACCTTCCGACCACACCCATTCAGGATTTTTTGCTCTGCATTCCCAGGTGCCCATCAAATGGATGGCATTGGAATCCATTCTTCGACGGCGGTTCACCCATCAGAGTGATGTGTGGAGCTATGGTGTGTGGAGGTGGTGATAGGAAGGGCTGGATGAGAAGCCATGCCAGGGTGGGATATGGGTACAAGAATGAGGGTGGGGATGGAGGAGAGGAAGGGGGCTCCTGATGTCCACCCTGTGGGGGGTCTATGTCCACCTGGAGTATGGTGTGAGGAGACCAGGTACATCCTGCACAGCCTCTCCCTTTGTATGCCTAAGCATCCTGTTCCCCATGCCTGTCTGTCCTAGGTGTGACTGTGTGGGAGCTAATGACTTTCGGGGCCAAACCTTACGATGGGATCCCAGCCCGAGAGATCCCTGACTTGCTGGAGAAGGGAGAGCGCTTGCCTCAGCCTCCAATCTGCACTATCGATGTCTACATGATTATGGTCAAATGTGCGTGGTGGGCGGGGCTGAACCTCAGGCGTAGAGGGAGGGTGGTCCAACCTATGTGTGTTGGGGGAAAAGTGAGATGCGAATGGGCGCAAGGTGCTTCATCCCTTTCACAGTAGAGGTCCTAGCCACTCGCTCGCTCGCTCGCTCGGGAGGACAGGTGTTGAGAGGAGGAGAGAGATTGCCAGCTTAAAGGGGGAGCTAGGAGAAATGTTCCAGGGTTCTGGCTCAGGATCCAAAGTCCACTTGTGCTCCTCCGCCATGTGAGGGCTTTGGACTCAGCCAGGGTAGTCTAGGCCAGACTGCAGGGGGTTAGGAAGGAGCTGGGCAGCTGGTCCTCAGCCTGCCTGGGACAAGGATGCTGAGCCCTCTGCTATCCTTAGGTTGGATGATAGATTCTGAATGTCGCCCGAGATTCCGGGAGTTGGTGTCGGAGTTCTCCCGTATGGCGAGGGATCCCCAGCGCTTTGTGGTCATCCAGGTACTGGGCCTTCCCACCTCACCCCTGCCCTAACAGTGTCCTCCCTCCTGCAGACAAGTCCCCAAGCCCAGCCCCCACCTCTAGTCTAAGCTTGGTGAACCTTTCTTGGGAACTAAATGCTAGGCTGGGGAAGGGCAGTCACTGTGTCTCCTTCATCCCTAGAATGAGGACTTGGGCCCGTCTAGCCCCTTGGACAGCACCTTTTACCGTTCCTTGCTGGAGGATGATGACATGGGGGACTTGGTAGATGCCGAAGAGTATCTGGTCCCCCAGCAGGGATTCTTCTGCCCAGACCCTGCCCCAGGCACTGGAAGCACAGCCCACCGTAGGCACCGCAGCTCGTCTACCAGGGTCAGTGCTAATCATAGAACATGGAGGTCCCTTCCCTTGAATGCTCCCCCACATTCTCATTTCCCTGCGATTCCATTACTGTTACTGCTTTCCAAACCTTGGGACTCCATTCTCTCCATAATGACTCCAAGGTGACCTGTGCTTTTCTCCTGGGACCCTGTCATTCCCGGCCAAGGTCCCCCTCCCAGACCTTTTAGTAACTTCAATCATGACCCTCTCTTACCCCAGAGTGGAGGTGGCGGTGAGCTGACATTGGGCCTGGAACCCTCGGAAGAAGAGCCTCCCAGGTCCCCACTGGCTCCCTCGGAAGGGGCTGGCTCTGATGTGTTTGATGGTGAACTGGGAATGGGGGTTAGCAAAGGGCCGCAGAGCATCTCTCCACATGACCTTAGCCCTCTACAGCGGTACAGCGAGGACCCCACATTACCCCTGTCCCCGGAGACTGATGGCTACGTTGCTCCCCTGGCCTGCAGCCCCCAGCCCGGTATGGAATCCGGGCCTGAGTAATTGGGAAGAGGGGGAGTTGAGAACCCTTGGGCTACACTCACTGAGAGGTAATGGTGGGGCAGGGACACCCTGGTCCCTTTCCCTAACAGTTCCTTTTCTCTCCTGCAGAATATGTGAACCAGCCAGAGGTTCGGCCTCAGTCTCCCTTGACCCCGGAAGCTCCTCTGCCTCCCGTGCGGCCTGCTGGTGCTACTCTAGAAAGACCCAAGACTCTCTCTCCTGGGAAGAATGGGGTTGTTAAAGACGTTTTTGCCTTTGGGGGTGCTGTGGAGAACCCTGAGTACTTAGCACCCAGAGGAGGCACTGCCTCTCAGCCCCACCCTTCTCCTGCCTTCTGCCCAGCCTTTGACAACCTCTATTACTGGGACCAGGACCCATCAGAACGGGGGTCTCCACCAAGTACCTTTGAAGGGACCCCTACAGCAGAGAACCCTGAGTACTTGGGACTGGATGTACCCGTGTGAGGTCACACTTGCAGAGGCCTTGTTCTGCCTTCAGAGTGAGGGGGGCCTGGTCTCCATCACTGCAGAGCAGGGAGAGGTCCTGTGGCCGCATTACTTCCAGGGCAGCCTGCTGTGCCAGGAACCCCACCCTACAGAACTTTCCTTGCTGCTTGAATCCTGAGTGGTTGGAAGAAGTGGCACACTGGACAGTCTCAGTGGTCTCAGGGGATCACAGACCCTGCCCTGACAGCCTGCAGGGTCCAGGGGGATCACAGCCATGGCTCCTCTAATGCCCTGGCCTTCTTGGTTCTGAGGACTGAGGGCAACTCAGCCTAGAAGGGAAGAGGCCCCAAAGGAATGTCCTGGGAACAGGACAACCCACTAGGACTGAGACCTGTGCATCCCAAGAGGAAAGGGGCGCACTAGCATCCAGACCAATCCTTGTACAGAGTGTATTTTGTTCTGTTTTTACCTTTGTTTTTTAAAAGATGAAATAAGGACATGGTGGGAGAGTGGCTGTTACATGCAAGTGAGGGATGGCGTCCCTCTTTCTCCATTTGCAATGAGATTAGTAGAATAGTTGGGCCCCAGCCTATGTCCGGGAGTGGCTTTGGACTAGGCTTTCCTGCTCACCTGATACACACGCAGCTCTCCCTGGAGTGAGTGGGTAAAGCGCTTCCAGAAATTTGAGGTGGGTTGAGAGATTGGGGAGTTAGGATTCCTTTCTGAGGACCCTTTGGCAACAAGCTCGTTCTCCATTGGGCATACTCTTTCCAAGGCCACCCACAGAATGAGGTCCTCTCCTCCTATATGGGAAAAGTGGGGTGGGGGAGGAACTGTCTGTGTGACTCATTTCCCTTGACTTAGAGAGATGCATCTGTCCAGAGAAGGCCAACCCAGTAGGTGTTAACAGGGCCAGACTGTCTTTAGTGCTCCCTGAAGACTGGACATAGACACACACCAGTTGGCACAAATGTTTGTAGCGCCAATAGCTCTTTATTGCCAATAGCTGACATTGCCCAGGACCTGGGGGAAATAAGTTATGGCAATTGCGGCATCTGACAGGAATTGCCAAGTTGGGGAGAGGACTGAGCTGCAGAGGGCACCTACCCTGGGGAAGGGGTGTGAGGTGGTGGTGGTGGAAATGTCTACAAAGAGCTTGTCTTTTCTGCCTCCAAGACCACAGACATATCTAGTCCTCCTTGTACCCAAAGCAGAGGCCAGGGTATTAGCTATGTGGAGCTAAGTAAGGGGCAAAAGGCAGAGGGACTTCCTAGTGAAACCACAAGGAAACAAAGGTTTGAACCCCAGAACCAAGCTTCCAAGAACCGTGTGTATCACAAGATGACACAGGGGGGCCGGCTATTGGTGATTTTTTCTAAAGGTTCTCCATTGCTGGCTCTTCGGATAGCCTCGATGAGCTAGAGAGGACAGAGACGGGCCAGTGTTATCCATAGAGAGGAAGGTGTGTCTCCACCATCTTCCCAATGCTGCAAATACTCACATCTTTCTCATAAGGAAAACCCCCATTCTCCAGCTTGGAGAACACCAGCTGTCCATTGATCTCAATCTCAAAGGCCCCTGGTATGAAAATAAACGCAAGAATGAGCCAAGAACAGGCAGAAGTCCAGGGAGGTCCTTGGCATTCCTGAGACTTGCAGGCAAGACCATCATGGTCTCCTGGTTTTCACAACCTTAGGCCATTCCGCCCACCTGCGTGTCCCTCTATCACTCCAAACCCACACCAGGCATTTTCACTATGTGCCAGACACTGCTAGGAGGTTTATATTCAGCAGTCAATGTCCACTCTAGAAGGTAGGAGAGCTGGGGTTTATAACAGACTGACTCAGCAGGTGCTCTGTGGACCTCACCTGTCCCCCCGTGTCGCGACTCAATCTCGATGCCGGGATACTCCTCCTTCACGGCACTCGCCAGCTCCAGGTAGGTCGCCTCGAAGCCGCAGGGTTCACTGGGGAGAAAAAACGTGGGGTGAGCTGGGGTTCCGGGGGTGGGGCCTCCCGTGGACCCACCCCCGTCTTGCCGGTGGACACAGGGTTCCTTTCCAGCCCGAGTGGCTCACCAGTACTCCACTACGATGTGGACTCCACTGCCTGCTTCCACCTCCCCGGGAGGGGGCACTACGGACACTTGTCCTGGCTCCCCACTCATTGCTGCCTGCTCCGCTGCAGGGCTACTTCCGGGTGTGACGGCACGCCAAGGTCACGTGAGGGGCGTGGCTACGGGCGTGGCGGACCTCTCATTGCGTCTGGGCGCCCCCTGCAGTCACCAGCTACTGCTACATCTTGATCCTGTACTGCAGCTGGAGAGCGAGTACCCTGAACCCAACCCGAGGGGGGGGGGGACACCTACCCAAACCTTCCCTGATCTGTGTTTTGAGAGCACTAAATTTTTTCGGCATCTATTGCTTATTGGACATCATGGATTTGCTTAAATAATGGACTGCCTCTGTTTACAAAGCTCTTTCCCATTTACAAAAGACAGAAAATGGGGCAAGCATCTGAGGATGAAGCTGAAGTAGCTGATGATTTGTCATTGTTGGCCTTTTGCTCTAGCATGATGACGACATTTGAAACCACCCCATAGTTACATGATCGAGCTTATTTGCGTGTATGTGTGGATTTGTGCATGTGAGGGCGTCTTTTAAAACTTTTTATTACATTTATTTATTAATTCGTGTATGAGTATGTATCGGAGGTGGGGGCCATGCCCCACGGCATACTTGTAAAGGTCAGAGCACAGCTTTCGGGAGTCGGACTCCTTCCATCCTGCCGGTCCCAGGAGTTGTCAGGCTCTGTTGCAAATGTCTTTCTTTACGGGTGAAGCTATATATCAGTGCAACACCATCTAGTTCTTGACTCTAAAGTGCCAAGTGGTGCCAAGGTTTTCTAACCTTTGTGAGTCTTTCTTGTACTAAAGGAGAGAAAGTACCTGTGTCCTCAGGCTTTGCTTATCCACGGGCACCCACTTTTTAAGCACCCATCTCATCCTAGCCTCTCCATAGAGGGTTAGTATTATCGTGCCCAGTTTTTAATTCTGGAAGTGACTGAGTCTTCCTTGCCGCTTCCTTCCCAGAAGCACCATTCAGTATCACAGTGTCATTAAAAACTCTCCCATTCTGGAGTTTCTTTAAATTCATTGTTTGCTCAACTTTTGTTTGTTGGGTTTGTTGTTGTTCTGTCGTCATCCTATACAGTTACAGAATGTTTCCATCAATCTAATACGGTCCTTCCTTTTTGCTTGCCATCTATCCAGCCTTCAGCTCTAGTCATAAGCAATCCCTGATCTGCTGTTTATCATCTTTTCTGGATATCACATAAATGGAATCATATAGCATGTGGCTTTTGCCCTGGTTTCTCTCATACTGTACATGGTGTGAACCAGGAGTTCCTTTTTATTGATGATTTCATTCCATTGTATAGATAGAGCACAGTTACTGTCTATTGATATTAATTTGGGTTTCTTTAGTTTTTATCTGTTTTGAATAATGCTGCTATACATGTAGATGTCATTTTGTGGATGTGTGTCTCTTTGGTAGACTCCTAGGAGTAGAATTATTGGGCAGCACTCATGAAGCAGAAGCAGGTGGCTCTCTGTGAGTTTGAGGCCAGCCTGATCTACAAAGCAAGTTCCTGGACAGCCAGGGCTACACAGAGAAATCCTGTCTAGAAAAACAAAACAAAGCAAAATTATTAAGCGGCCTGGAAAATTTATATTTAATTCTTTATAGAGTTGCCTACCTGTTTTTTTGTTTTGTTTTCCAAGTGGCTGTATCATTTTACACTACCAACAGCAACAAAGGACAGAGGTACTTGTCTCTTCATAGCATCACATATTAGTTTCCTCTCTCTCTCTCCTTCTCTCTCTCTCTCTCTGTCTGGTTTTTCAAGACAGAGTTTCTCTGTACTGCTTTGGAGCCTGTCCTGGAACTAGCTCTGTAGACCAGGCTGGCCTTGAACTCACAGAGATCTACCTGTCTGCCTCCTGAGTTCTGGGATTAAAGACCTGGGTCTCACTGTGTATCCCTGGATGTCCTGTAACTCACTATGTAGATAATACTGGCCTGAACACACAAGAGATCCACCTGCCTCTGCCTTCTGAGCACTAGGACTAAAGGTGTGCACCACCATGCTCAGTTTATAGCCCAGTTTTAACTGGGATATTTATCTCTTTATTATTGGTATTTAAGAGTTCTTTATAGTTGGGGGATGGTAGAGGAGGCCTTTATTTCCAGCACTTGGGTAGCAGATGCAGGCAGGTCTCTGTGAGTTCGAGGCCAGCCTGGTTTACAAAATGAGTTCCAGAACAGCCAGCTCTATCACATAGAAAAAACCCTGTCTTGAAGAAACAAAGCCAAACAATATCTATAATGAAATAAATAAAATAGATAATTTACAAGTATTTTCTCTTGGTTTTTGCAACACACCTACACTAACTGTCTACATTCAATTACTTTTTTTTTTTTTCTTTAAAAAATCCTTTGCAAGCCCAGTGGTGGAGCTCAACTTTAATCCCAACACTTGGAAGGCAGAGGCAGGTGGTTCTCTCAGTTCAAGGCCAGCCTGGTCTGCAGAACAAATTCCAGAACAGCCAGGGATACACAGAGAAATTTTGTCTCAAAAAACAAACAAGTAAATAAACAAACAAAATCCCTTGCCCAACCCAAGGCTACAGATTTTCCTTCATTGTTATTTTTTGATTTTTGGTTTTGATGGGGTTTTTTGTTGTTCTTGTTGACTTGTTTTTGTTTTGTTTTGTTTTTTTGTTCTTATTTGAGACAGGGTTTCTCTGTGTAGCCTTGGTTGTTTTGAAACTCACAGGCTGGCCTTGAACTTGCAGAGATTCACCTACCTCTGCCTCCCTAGTGCTGGGACTAAAGGTGTGTGTTACCACCACCCAGCTAGGCTTTTGATGTTTTATTGTGACTTTATCTAAAATTTTCTAAGTACGGTTCTGATATTTAGGTTTATTATCTATTTTTTCTTGTTTGTTTTGTTTTTGAAACAGAGTCTTTCTACATAGCCTGACTGCCCTGGAACTCACTATGTAGACCAGGCTAGCCTTGAACTCATAGAGGTCCACTTGTTTCTGCAACCTAAGTGCTGGAATTAAAGGTTTATGACACCATGGCTGGCTATGATTTATTTTTTAGTGATTATTTTTTTTTTTTTTAAGATTTATTTATTGTGTATACAATGCTCTGCTTGCATGTCTGCTTCAACACCAGAAGGGGGCACCAGACCCGATTACAGATGGCTGTGAGCCACCATGTGGTTGCTGGGACTTGAACTCAGGACCTTTGGAAGAATAACCAGTGCTCTTAACCTTTGAGCCATCTCTCCAGCCCCTTTTAGTGATTATTTTTATTTATGTATGTTTTCCATCTGTGTAGTTCACGTGTATACAGGTGTCTGTGGAGGCCACAAGAAGGCATCAGATCCTCTGGAGCTGGACTTATATGAAGTTGTGAGCCTTTGGTTGGGAACTGAAATCAGGTCCTTTGAAGAGCAGCAACTGCTCTTGACCCCTGAGCCATCCCTATAGCCCTTTAGGATCTATTTGGAATCATTTTTATGCATCTGGGAAGTACAGAACTAGATTAAACTTTTGGTATGTAAGTATTAAATTGTCACAGTGGTATTCAGTTAAAAAAAAAAATAAACCCTTCTCTACCAGGTATTTTGACACATTCCTGTAGCCTTAGCTACTTGGGAGACACAGCAAGAAGATTGGTTGAATTCAAGACCATTCTGGGCAACATAGCAAAACATTGTCTCAAAAGATCCTATCTATCCATTAAATAGACTCTACAAATTTATCAAAAACTTACTGTCTGCAGACATAGTGGTACACACCTTCAATTTCAGCACTCAGGAGGCAGAGGCAAGTGGGTCTCTGGTCTACAAAGCAAGTTCCAGGATAGCCAGGGCTATTACAAAGAGAAACCCTGTCTCGGAGAAAAAAAGAAAAAAAAAGCCACCACTATAGAAACATAAAGGTTTATATTTGGATTTTCAGTGTTTTTCATTGATCAATATAGATGGTTCCTAGAATTTTTAACTTTACAGTAGTATATACTTGATATAGATTCAATAGAAGCTGGACTTTGACATTTAGTAGTTTATATATAAAGTGCTTTTTCCAATCAAAGCATTTTTTTAATTATAAAAGTATTCATTATGAGTGTGTAGGTATGTGTGGGTGAGGATATATTAATAACACAGTGGCCATGTGGAGGCCAGAGAACAACTTGTGGGAATCCTCTCTTCACCATGTGGTTCCTGAGAATCAAACTCAGGTCATCAGGCTTGCAGCAAGCATCCTTACCTGCTGAGCCATCTCCCAGACTTCTTCAGATCAAGGTAATTATGGTGGCATAGGTCTAGATGCCCAGCAGAGAGAGGTTGGCCACAAGTTCAAGACTAACTTTGGCTAAAAAGGGAGTTTGGGGCTAGCCGAGGTTACATATCAAGACCCCAAGTGATGTTTCTGAAAACTGAAAATGGGCTGGAGAAATGGAAAATATTGGCAGCTCTTGCTCAGGACCCGGGTTCAGTTCCCAACACCCACATGTGGGTGCTTCATAATCAGTTCTAAATCCAGTCACAGGGGATCTGAGGTCCTCCTGTGGTCTCCATTGGCACCAGTCAGTCAACCATTTGGTACTCTTATTGACACAGGTACACAAACCCACACCCACACACACACTCTCTCTCTCTCTTTAAAAAAAATCAACAATAAAAACTAGGCTTTATTCAGATGCAACAGCATCATAAGCCAAGGGGCTTTTATTTCAGTTTTGTTTAGTTGGAAATACTCAGTCTGGCTTTGAACTCTTAATTCTCCTGAGTTCTGGGATTACACATTCAGCTTGTGATGACTTTTATCCTAAATTCAAATTAACTTATACATATTTAAAGTTCATTTTCTATGAGCAAGATGGCTCAGCAGTTAAAGGCACTTGCTGCTAAGCGTGGTGACCTAGGTTTTGATCCCTGGAACCCACCTGCTGGAAGGAGAGAACCAATTCTCATTGACCTCTATACACACACACACACACACACACACACACACACACACACAGAGAGAGAGAGAGAGAGAGAGAGAGAGGGAACAGAGAGAGAAGAGAACAGAGAGTGGGGGGAACACAGAGAAAGAGATGGTAACAGAGAGAGACAGAGAAAG